CCTTTCTCCTCCCCCATCTTCACCAGTTGCTTTTTCACTTGATTGTGGTGATACAAAGACTACTCTTCAGAGCGCCAAATTTCAGGACAAACATCCTGTCTTTCCTAAACTTTCTCAGACATTGCTAATGCCTACCTTTGGTATCTTGGCAGTTGCATAAGTAACGATCAAGTGAATGTCTGATTCTCATTTTGTATGTGAACATTTATTAAGACTTTACTGCAATGCACATTCATGTTGGCACAGGTAATGTTGCACGTACTTCGGTAACAGTGCCAATTCCGGATTTCAGAGCGTTTACTTTGCAGCCTGAACATTTTGTTATGACACAGTTTTCTCCATGTGGTAGTAAACTTAAAACTGGTGATGCCAAGTCATCGGCTGTGCTGCAGCAGTTTGGCATTGTAGCATGGGACTTTCTTGATCTGCTTTAATCCTAGGACTTGTTGAAGCGAGTCAGGCTGTGATCATCCTCAAATCTAAGGAGCATTGCAAAAGCTGTCACACAACATTTTATGACATTGTAGGTGTCATTTTCAGTCTTGTGGAACATGACTTGAGGGGTTGCATGTAAAATTGGGAGTAGGGACTGGCTCAGCCTGATGGCAGGTTCAATCTCTACCAGGGCAAGGCTTCATGCCCTTGTCACAGCCAGTCTGCTGCTTGCTTCATGTGTGAACTCATTTATAAAATGTCCTTTTCCCGTGAGACTAACTCATCCCCCAGAGAGCAAGCCGGCTGGAGAGTCTGGTAAGGAGCAAGGAGGGGTGGGGGGGAGATATCTCTTGCTGTCTGTCCATCCTTGCCAAGCCAGCCCGGGGGTGTGCAAGGGGACCGAGAGGAGCGGACACGCGTGGGACTGCGCGGACACAGGCTGCCACCTGCTGAACAGGGGCAGGGAAGGACAGTCTGCAGGGCTTGGTGCACACTTTCTGTGAACAGTGAGGCAGGGTCTGGCTGTTACCCCTCTCTTCTCCCAAAACAACCGTCAGCACCACCCATGGTAATTGTTTAAAGCTTAAACAAGTTTAAAGGAGTTTAAATCTGAAGAGATTTGATTGAGAGGTTCAAAACCACTGAATTATTTAGTGACCACTATCCATTCTTGGAAAAATGAGGGGACACTCTCTGGTATAAACTCAGTTGCTGCCCTGTCCCCCAAAGTACAGGAATAGGTGTTGTCCTCATGTTTTAGAGACAGATGTTGAACCTCAAGACCCTTTGAGATCAGCCCAGATCATGCCATCCTTCCCTACGAACTGCAGTGACACCTGCAGTCCCCACCCAGAAGAGCAGAGGTGCCAGGGCACAGCCAGCCCCAGCAGGAATGGAGGCTGGCTTGCCAGAGGCCTGACTACGCATTACAGCAATTTGAGGAGTGTTGTAAAACGTGCCCTCAAGCTTCAGCAATCCCATAGATAAGTCTGGAGAAGGATCTTCATATAATATGAAGGAAGGACCAGGAAAAGAGAATGTAAATATTCAGATATTAATAATCTGGAAAAATATATCAATCCTATTAGTGACTGTAGGATAAATGAGCAGGAAATGAAACTGGGTATTTCTGCCTCATAATTTCTTGTTCATATCCCAATGACACATATACAGGTATATTTATCCTCTCCTGTGGACAGCCAGTTGTATGGGCGCCACTGAGGGAAGATGTATGGGAGGCGGGGTCAGTGACCTCCACGCGCTGCGTGACCCCGGGGCACAGGAGGCTGAGGGCTGCCTCTCCAAGGACTGCACCTCTGGCTTTCTCCTGCCATTGCTTTCAATCACTAACTCCTCCCCTGAGTTTGTTCAGGACCCTGTTTTCAGCATCCCTGTGATCACAGACATTTTTTGCTGATTCCCTGCTAGGTTGCCTGCTATGAAAACAGCACTTTGTCACAGTTGCTGGTTTATTGGGGGAGCAAGAGACCTCTGTGTAAAGCTATGGGAAAGTGGCCTCTAGCACCCTGTCTGCCTTAAAAGTCTTGCTTGCAGTTTCGAAAGGAACTTGAACTAAAACCACCAGAAAACTATCCAGAAAACACTGACTGTACGTTACGTTTTTTGATTGTTACCACATCCCTTGTAATTCTCAACCGCAGCTCTGTACTAGAGGCTGGATACACATGGTGGGCATTTTTCTTCTTGCTAGCAGTGGGATAGCAGGAATGCAAGCTTCCCTTCCAAGTCCAAAATCAAAGTATTGACAAATACTAAGAGAGGAATGTGAGTTTTGAGGTTGTATCTTCCCTCAAAACAAGAAAACTGTCTAACTCCAAGGCTTTTCCCAATACCATTTTATTCTTGTAATGAATTTGCTTGTACTGTTTTCCTTTTCTCCATACAGGAAATAAGCCTATGGCTCTCTCACACTTTAATATGCTTGTTACACTGTGCAGAAACATTTCAGACTCTTTGTACTCAGCACTTCATTTCTCAGCCATGTCTTTTCAGGAACTGGCAGCCTGCAGGATAGCTTTAAAAATAATTTATATCATATTGCAACAATCCTGTATACTGGAGCTGTCTTGAACCTCTCATTGCTTCTTCTGGTGTCACACTGTAATCGTGATCTTGTTTCTGTCTTCTCACAGGTTATTTGCTTACTTGCAGGGCAGCAGGTACTATTCTACAGTTTGCAGCGTGGATGTGCACAGATCGTGGAATTCTGAACAGACTGTGTGGTCACTTTCGATTTGCAGGGGACTGAAGATCACCCTTTTGGCTTTTTATTTCTATGTTCCTGTTCTTCTTGTTGTTATTTTAAAATAACAATTGTTCTGGTTTTACTATTTAAATAACAAATGCAAGTGTTCTGCAAAGTTTTGGCTTTCTGGAGAGGGAGCTTCCCCTTTGTAAGCTGCTTTTCAAAATGTGCCAAATCATTCCCCCGGCAAGCTTGTTTCACTTTCCACTTGCTTTCCTGATGCTGGGTTTTCATAAAACAGGGGAGTTTCGGTTTTCCAAGTAATTTATATCACTTTCATTTTATTTTTTTTCCCTACCTAAAGCTGAGAAAAGAGTTATTTTACACTGCTCATGACACAGCCTTGTTGTCTCGGAGAAAGAGGCTGGACGTGGCAAGTGCACAAAGTGCGCAGTATAAAGATACCAGAACTATATTTCAGCGAGCAGCTATGGTGGTGGCAGTGACCTTCCGTATCAGCATGAGACTCTGCATGGACTTTTCTCCTGAGAATGAAAGGTGAGAGTAAAAGGTGAAACAGTGGTAATATAACCTGCTTGGTATGAGCTTCCTGTGCAGCCCTAGTTTGAAAATGAGGCCAGAAGCAGGAAGCAATGGAAAGCTGGGTGTGTTACCATGGGTCAGCAAAACGAAATCACTTTCAGACCCTGGCACAGGTACTTTAAGCTTGATCAGATAGTTCTACACTGCACTGCTGATTGCAATGTAGACATATATGCACTCCTTTGGAAAACCAACTGCACAGTATAATTAATCCTCTTATTTGATGCACAATGTTCCAGTTAAGACAAAAAATTATGATGTACACTAACCACTAGAGTTAATGTTAGTCTGGGTTTAGCCTTGCAGACATCTCCAAAGGAGAATATGACTCATTGCTCAGGGACTTTTTTTTTTTTTTAAACCATCCTTGTTATACTGAGGTTGGGGAATTCCAGTGTGATGAAAGAAAATTTCTATTTCACTGCCACAAATTTATGAGGTTTGATGGCTCCATTTTAAGATCTGTCTAGATCAGATCAGTTATACTAGCTAAGCCACTGAAGTCCTGAGACGTGGACAACCTCTGTTTCTGGTGGCCAGATGCCTCACTTTGAGAGATTAGGCCAGAAGGCAAGAAAAGCCAGAGTTCAAGTCAAGCACCTGCCAACATACCTTTAAGCTACATATATGACTTCCTGTGTGGGACGTGGTACAGGGAGCAGCCTGTCTACCAGGGCTTGTGAGAGCATGGAGCTTTCCTTCCTTCTGGTCTTGGCTGTGCTTCTACATAACTGCGACTTAGGAAAGATGGCACAGCCCACACCACTGTTGTGCTGCTTTTCTGAGAGGCAGGTATATAATTCTTTTATATACGTGGAGCCTGGCCAAAACATGGCAACGAGCAACATACTGTTGCAGCATGTCAGATCCGTACACAGATAGCAAAGACAGGAGTCATTTATACAACACTATACCTTAATCAGTCCATAGGTGTACCTTTGGTGCATGGCTATTAAAGCAGCCTGAAGGTTTGTCGTTGAAAACATGGGGATTTTGGCAGTATAGTAGTAGCAAGCTGATTGATTAGACACTTACAAGGTGCTGAAAAGTTACAAAGCAAGAGGCTCCAAAGTGGGGTGGAAGGTTGTTACAAGTGTTTAGCATCTATCTATGTGGTGCTTGAAGCTTGTGGAAGAGCTGTACACCCTAAACTGGGTCTGGGCTTTGCAACAAAACATGCTCTTTGTCCTTCAGATCTCTGACAGGTCAAGCCTATGAAAGGCTTTAAATTCTTGAAGCTAATCTAAGTCTTGCCTTTCCTTTCAGGGTCCTGCTTTCTAGCTGTTTTCAAGGTCCACGTGTTGCCCTCCCAGGCACCTTGCTTCCAGCAACATGACTCTTTGAAGCATCCCTACACGGCTGTGTGCACCCAGCCTTGACCAGGAGTTGATTGCCAGTGCCTGACACCCTGCTGCCAGACCTGCCCTGCCCCTTCTACACCCCTGGGGCCAGGTGGCAGCAATTGGACCCCACCCCACCCTGGCTGGCTGGTGGAGTGAGCCCAGGCAGGCCTCCTCTGTTTTGGCAAAGTCTTAACACTAGCTGGAGATTCCCTCTAAGGAACTGATGGTAGATCAAAAGAAAGTCATTCTACTTATTGCATGCCCTGGAAAAATCAAACCTTTCCAGAGAGCATTCCTTGCCTGTGAAAGATTTTGTGAGACTGCATAAATGGATGTGTGGGTGGGAAAAGCCTTACTGCAAAGCAGCCAGCACTACTAGTTCTTGGAATGTATGAGCTGAGTCCTCTGCACTCTGTGACTGAAGAAAGGTAAGGTGTCTTTTTTCAGGAGTGTGCTCTCCCTTTTTGTGATTTATTAACCTGAGAAAAAGAAAACCTAAAAAGGTTGCACAAGAAGAAGGAAAAAGTCGTAAGCTATGTGGGTATTTTTTGTTGTTTTTTTAATGACAATGATGTTTTCATTGTATCAATTCCTGCATTAGAAAAGCTAGCATTGCACACTTGCTTATGGAGACTTCACAGCTTCTGCAGGTTGCCTTCCAAAAATCATGGTTCTGCTGTGCTGCTTCAGCTTCTGCTTCTTTGAATGGTTTTAACATTAGAAAAGGCTTGCAATTATTGCAGGGAACAAGGGAAATAATAATTTTTACTTAGCGCTGAGAGCTTTTGCGTAGAAAACTTGCACATATACGCACACATATAAATACCCACATAGGTACTTTTATACAAGGGAGAAATCCCATTTACAACAGAGTAGAATTTAATTCCACAGTAACACCTATATTCCAAATTAATCAGGTGTATGTTATATAATAATTTGTTCAAGTATTCTTCCTACTACACTTCATAGACTCTTAACACCAGAGTTTTGACTTTGACAAATGCAACATCCCACAATTTTAATGTAAGCAAAACATGACATCAATTAAATAATGCAGGACCATACATTTAGACTAAACCCTTTCTTCAAATAATGACTACTTTTTTTCTTCTGGTAGTGAATCTTATAGCTGGACTCTTAAATTGTAGCTTTTAGTTAAATAAGCCATAAAACTTCCCCCAGTTCCTAACAACCAAAAGAAAGCTAAGGTTTGTTTTTTTTAAAGGAAATATATTGCTACAAAAATCATAATTAATTCTTGTTCATATTATAACTTCCTTGAATCAATCAGAACCGCCAATGAAAATGGCATTGAAAAGCTTTGTTATTTATATTATTAGAAAAATACTAATTCAGTCAGAAATAATTGTCAAATGATTCCGTCCTATGTCTCTTCCAAACTACCAGAATAGGCTTTACTTAGCTCAGCACTATCATTATAAGAGTTTCCGCCTTCCTGAGTGCAGGTTTGGCTTTGCTCAGTGTCATCATTATAAGACTGTCCCCCATCCTGACACCTGGTAACAGCTGCCTTCAGTTTTTCCTCAATTTTATCAGCTGCAGTGCACATTTTAAACTCTCTCAGGCTGCTTATTAGGGTTCCATAGGCTCCTTTTATACCATGTCTTTGATACCAGACTTGAAACAGCTTAATCTTCTGTTCAGATGTATCACTAAAATAATCCCGAAGAGTTTGATCTATGACAGGTTCTGGTATTTTGTGATTACGAACAAATGTCTTGACTTCTTGGAGTGTCATCTCCTCCACAATACCAGCAGCATGGCTGCTCAGGTCAACATCTAGAAGCATAAAATGAAATTAATGCTCTTGGCACTTACATCTTACTGCTTTTTATCACATGTGCTCAGAGTTGATACTTTTCCTGTCCAAAACTGATTAAGTTTCAGGTATTCATGATTATCTTTTACATGTAATTTTTTACAATATATAGCAAGTCTGTTTTTACATATTCCTACCAAATGCTAGGTAATTCAGATATTTAGGGTTGCATCCATATTGCTTTCTACCACTTGAAACAGAATCTCAGTTCCCTATGTAACCTATTCTGACCTCCTCTGTCAGTAAAGGCTGGTCATCCCTCATGTACCTGTTTTGCTGAAAATAGCGTTGGGAAAGGTCCTGGAATAGGACAGGTCTTTTGTTGTGATACAGCCTTGAAGCTTATGTTCTTTTCCTGCTGTGTGTTACTACTGTGGATTTGCCCTTGAATGTAAGGTAGGTTTCTGTTTCTGTGATCCCATTGCTGTGCGTGGGACTACACCACTACTGTAATTATCCATGATCATAGAAGTCCAGTTTGCTGCCTCCTAGTGTCTGTACCACATGCAGAACAGAAATTCACCTACTGTCACTTCGTAATTGTTTTCTATACAACAGAAGTTTCTCCTAAGGCAAAACTTTCATAATACCATTAAATGCCTTAATAAGCACAATATGAACTGTCATTTCTTTAATAAGTGGTGTGCTAGAATGACAGCTCTAGGCAGTGGCAAAATCTACATTAAAAATACCCTTTTTTAGTGTAGGTTTTATATGTCTGTACTTATTTTTCTTCTACTGAATTTTGAGAAATTATTTGTCTCTTACCTGTGTATATGAGAGGTACATTCTCCTGAAAAGAGAAGCAAGAAAGGAATGAGTAGAAACAAGTTTTGTAAAACACCAACCTTGTAGAAGAGGATAAACACATTTTATGACACTTGACTTCCTTAATTTTCTTTTAGTTTTCTCCATGATCCCCCTGTTTTATAAGCGAGGGAATCAGATCAGACAGGTCTCTTTTGACTTGGGTAAGCTTGGGGAATTGCCTCACAACTGCTATTGCCTAAAAATAGTCATGGGGATAGGTACCCTGGGTCAGCAGATGCCTGATGATATATGGAATTTTGATCTTGGTCACGTAACTTAGGAAGGATGTCAACAAATCCTGAAGAAATAATACAGGGTTTCTCTTAGTTGTCCCCAAAGAGTCCTTGTGGTGAAACTTACTTCATTAACATCATAGAAGAAAGGCACGCTTGGGGAGTCCAGTATAATTTAAATGGAACAAAGTTCTTTGCATGAAGCTGAGGTTTTTGTGATCTAAGCAACAATACTTACATAAGAAACCTCTGTTTTGGGGATTACTTCACCTAGGTTCTCCTTGCTAGTAAGACCCCTCTGTTTTCTCTTGTCTGAAACAAAAAAACATTTTTAAAATCCAGGACAGAGTAGATCTCTCATCTGGACTCCAAGAATATAAAATTATATCTGAAAAAGCAGCTGAGTATCTTATTCAGAATATGACAGGAATAAGGAATAGGGAATCACTTACAGCAACTTATTGCTCCAGCTATTAGTGGTAGTAGTACTACTAACACAACTATCACAGCAATGGTCTGTCCTGTCATTCCTGTTTCTGTTGGAACATTAGAAACATTACATGTAAGTTAAGAAATGCAATACAGCAGCACACTAAATTTTAAACAAGATTGTGTCAGATTATAAAAACCATTCTGTTGTCTCCTAATGACAATAGCTACCTCTTTGTTAAAGTCTTACCTATCATGAGTCACCCCTAAAAAAGGAGTAATAGCTCCTCCTACACCTATACAGTCAGTACAGGGCTGACTAAATATGATACTCTGACCTGTCAGGAATCACTATGGGCCATTGTGTAGAACAGTACAATTGCAATAGCCTCTCAAAATACAGCAAATGCTAGAACATGCTAGGTTTTAAAATGGTACCTTTCATTCCGCACACAGTGTCTGAAGTTGAAGTACACTGTTTTTCAACTACGCCACTTTCACATCTGTAGAAAACATGAACAAAAATTATGGTGTTTGTTTGTCTCCTTATAAACTCTGTCAAGAGAGAAAATAAAAGTCTTCTAACACTTTTTATCAGCTAAATATTTCATATATCAAGATGTTGAAGTATGGAATTTAATAGGTATGAAAATGGCATGGAAAGGTATGGGAGTGGAAAAAAGTGTGGAAATTATTTTTTAGATGTAACAATAGATCACATAGGAAAGCTCAGATACTTCACTACATTTTTTTGAAAATTACATACACACTTGGTGGATGTATACAAGTTTTTCTATGTGCCTTTGGAAAGCCTGCATGGATGGAAGTTAAGTTGACTGAGTGAAGTCAGCTCAACAAGCTAAGTGCAAAGGAAAACTAGTATGTTTTCCCTCAGATTGTACATTACCTTAGCCTCTGTCTTGAAACTGGCTGGAAAAAGGTGTGATAATAATAACTTCATATTTAACAATGAAGTCATAAACTTACATGGTACAGGGATCACAATGGCTACATGGTACAGAAGAATTGCAGAAATAGTTCTTTGCACAGGTGCATTCCGTGTTCCGTGTTGGGGTACAGTTCTTTGCAACCTCCAAACCTAAAATAAATTTCTTATAGTTTGTTAGTGTGAAAAAAGTAGGCTATAAAAGAAGACCTCTTCTCACAAGCTCTTGTCCTCAGACTCACAGGCTTTTAGCTCTACCACTGCTGGCGTTGGTGAGGCTTAATTCTAAGAACATAGCCTTTATAAGGAGCACTGCTTCTGAAGTACTGGAAATAAGGAGCTGTCAATGAGACCTCTGCTGGTCAAGAGCTCAAAAACCTGATCACACGGCAGAGTACTTGCTCGAAGCAGACTCATTTGGCTCCGCCAAATGTCAGCTTCCTTCTCATATTCATAAGTATAAAGCCAGAAGGAAACTCAGATCACATAGCCCATCTCCCTGCTTGATGTCAGAGTCAGGTTCTTTACCCTTCCTGACAGACAACAAGCTTTATCTCTTCTTAAGGACCTCCAATGGTGAGGAATTCTACTCCACCTTTTTAGCTAACATATTCCCTGCTATCAACACAAGTGAATTAATTTTCTCCTGTCCTCAGGGTATATGATGAAGCTACCTTCATCTATGAAAAATTATTTCTGCATTAAAAATTACTGTAAGCATCTACTTACTATGAAAGCTATTTTCATAAGCATATAGGAATAGAAGTGAACTTTTGAGTTACTGCATTCAGTGCCCTGCTGTAACAGGAAACCATGATAACTTTCAAAATTTGGTGAAGCTCTACTGTGAAACCAGTGCTGAAGCCATTCATGGAATACTGAAACATGGAACTTCAGTGGTAATTTTCCTTCCGCCTAAGTTCTTCTACTGACTTCTCTTAAACTACATTATTGCCTGTGTGACCATGTGGCTAGTCATCCCATTACTCATTTTTACCCCTTCAGTTTAACTAATAGTTTGCTTTATGGCATTGTACAAAATACTGAATTGTTTTTCTGTACTTAACTTCATTACCCATCCAAAAATCTTTATTATAGTAGCTAATGAGAGGAAAATATTATATACAGATGAAGGTGTTACAGGAAGGGGAAAGCACTAAAGACTGGTATTTCCCCAGGTGATCTGAGTACAACCGTACTGGAGTTAAGAGCTGTCTCTCTGCTCACTAAACTCGATTTTTTGATATGAGGAATGCAGAACTATCATTCCCTAAATTCAACTATACTATAACTACAGGACACCTCATGGAACTGGTAGGATATCAGTTTAATGGATTTAAAAAAAAAAAAAAGAAAAAAAATCTGTGAATCTGTGATGGGTATTTATGCAAAAGGTAGTGAATTTCTGGAACCTGGTGTCCCTCAGCAGGTTCATGCACAGAGGGCTCATAAATGGATACTTAAATGGCTAGGCAGGGATGGACCTTCTTATGTCCTTTCCTACGACTGTGGCTGCTGGTAGACTTTGCAGGGAACAGACCACAGAAAGTAAAGAGGTTTGTTTGTGTTTAAATAGCATCTCTTGCCTCCACTGCTGAATGCAGAATACTGGGGTAGGTGGACAACTGGTCTGACCCCATTGGGCATATCTCACAGTCTCTAATTTGACCCTATATCCCACACACCATCTTGAATGCATAGAAGATGTCACTCTATCTGCTCCATCAATTTTAAATAATATTATTAATTACATGAAAGACTACAGAAGAAACCACTGGGAATTCTCCCATCCCTGCTTCTTACAACACCCCTCTTTTAAATAGAGGGCAAAGAAGAGACAGCACTTTTCTTCCTTGACTCTAACTAGTATGCATAGGGTCTGCTTTGCAAGGACTGCTTTGGTTGAGCAATGGCAGATATAGGGAGAAATAATGGACCAACATAACTTCTTCTTCCTACTTTGTGCTTGATGAAAGGGAACTGGAGGATAAACTGTCATAAATTCCTTCACGTACTACCACTGAAACATTTTAATCTGCATGCTACCCACTATTCAGGGACTGTGAAGACTTTTCAGTCAAATCCTGTATCAAAAAAGAGTCACTGCTAGAGTCGCTATTTCTATAGACGCACCGAATACGCTGTCACATGAATGGCATCTCAAACACTTGTTCCAATCATTGACATGATCTATGTACTCCTTTCCATTTTCACAAGCAACACAATGTTTGTTAGTATTTGTTGGACAGGTGATATTTTTAACAAAACCTGTAGAGACAGAAAGACAAGAATTAAGATTTGCAATACATCTGAACAGAACCCATGAGCAGTAAGACTTATATCAGACTTTCTTTTTAATCCCTAATACTTTTTAATTTACAAATATGAACAGAATCTATATTGTTTACACATACATCTATGCTCTTCAGGAATGTAGTATATATAAGATCTGATTATTCCTCTTCTCCTTCAGTCCTAAATTAGAGGAAGAACACACCAAACAAAACTGTATGTGCAAAATTGGAAAACCCACGAATATATGGAGTCTGGTAGGCACAAGCCTGTGCTTGCACTTTTTTAATCTCTCTCAAAGATGTATATGTAATTCTTCATTCTTTTGTGACAAGCATGTTATGTGAGAACTACTATCTGTAGTGAAAAGTTCTTGGTGCACTGAGCTCAAGAAATACTTTTGAAGTGTCTGATGTCCTGTAACAGAGAAAGATATAGTTAGAATGAAGCACTGCATCCAGGAAACCACAGCATGCTGCTTAGCTATCCCAGCAGAAAGCAATTGTGCCTGTTGTGGTTTCTATTCTTAATGACTTTTCAACGCTGTCTTAATGATACTCACCACGTTCACATTTCTTGCAACACTGATCACCTAAATTGTATTCATCCAGTTTACACTTAATTTCCCTTTTAGCAATCATCCTCCTTGTAATTAATTTATTGTATGCTATGTGTATTAGAGCTTCAGTATCATTTTTGCACTGTGTTTCAATAATTAAGACAACCACCTAGGAGAGAAGAACAGCAAGTTATACAAAAAACCTGTCAAGGACTGTAGGTGTGTTTTACTACTAGCACAGAGCTACATCAGTACTGTTACTTTATTGCTAAACATTGATAATCACCCCCTTATTAAAGTTGTTCATTACTTCAGAAGAGTCAATGGACAATGAGGACTCATATTAGATTTAATGCTGTCAACCCTACCACGACATTTGAATATTAATGCTTGAGAACAGGCCGATATATCTGAGTTGTAGCAGACGACCTCATATGCCTAATTATAGTGCAAAGGGACTTCCATTATTTTCTTGAAGAGCTTTCTCTGCCTCAGATCACTATGCCTAAATCTGCCCTTTCTTAGACAGTAATAATAATCTTCCATACAAAACTTCCTTAATTCAAATTACACCTTTATTAATTTCTTGCCACCCTACTGTTGCTTGCAAATTGAACAGTATTAATGATCTTGTTCTCACTTTGTTTTCCAACTCAATTATTTTTCTCCTTAGTAAATGATGCCTACATATTCCTGAAAGTATCACTCTCCTTTCAAATTAATTTATACCCTGATCCCTTTCTTTGAACGTACTGTCAAGTTGAATTGCATAGTGCTTGTTTTTTAAATTTTTTTCCTGTTCCTAGTCAGTAGTAACTTTTACTAGGCATCACTGACCTGCCTGTTTTCATGATAATAAGAAAGCACTGTGGATCAGAGACCAAACCATTCTTTTTTTCTCTTTGGAGAATAAGGTGGGAAAATGAGAAAGATAGATCTGCTATTCTTTGCCTCCTCCTTCATGGCAATGCCTTGTGGGGAATTCTGTATATACTTTGCATGCACTAAGTCTGATGAGACTGTCTGTATAGTGGAGCTATGTAATGCTTGTTGGCAGAACTAGATTCCCTCTTAAAAATATTATAACATAGGACAGTGTGAAGACAGCCTCTGTCTACTTAATCCAGTTTCTGCTGATAGTTTGGAGTGATTTTAACATGTTCACGATTTATTTTACTTGTGTATTACTAACTGTGTGGACCTGCAACGGAAAAAAAATGACAGTCGTTGTCTTGAAGAGTTTGAAGTCTTAACATCTAAGCTGAGCTCTATAGTCACTGTTCTTGCTCCTCTTTAATTAAAAAAATATTGGTTTGTATGTTACAAAAGACTCAGATACATACTGTGAGGGATACTGAGGAAGGGGGGGGAAATTATGCCTGAGGAGAAATGGAACAATCCTATTGTCCTTGGCAAAATGAAAGAATAGGCCAAGTTGTGAAGGAGAGGGGGAGCAGGGTACCTTTTCTGGAAAGGAGATTAGTGGGGAACGAGGTGCGATACAAAGGAACTGCCAAATCCTCATACCAGTGGTGCACTGCATGGACTAAAAGTCCTACCAATCACAGATTCACTCAAATTTTACATCAACATGCAAAACAACTTGACTAGAATAACTTATTTTTAATTTCATCTTGGGTATTTGAAGGAGGTTAATTCTGAATGGTTGATGATCTTTGAACACTTTTGAATTGCAGATTAATAGAAATTAGACTGTATTAATGCTAACAACAAGGGACATACATATTTAAGGAATTCTTTAATAATTTGAGGACTGGTTATTTTTATTATTACTTTTTTTTTCCTGCCAGAGGGTGATATTTAATGGCTGATTAATTCAATTTTGTGTGAAACTGCTTTGATCCTGACTGTAACTTTAGTTACATGCAGAAAACTCTTTGATTATCTTGAATATTAACTTACTGAAAAATGAGTTTGGATTTCAAGCTAGGCTCTCAAGTGAAGAAAGTGTTACCTGTGGCTAGCTAAAATAACCAATGACCACTGACTTCTACAAGCAGCCACTTCTTTTGATCCTCTAGTCTATTCAGAGATGGGAAGGTGAAAACAATTTTATTTCCTTAGCAGCTCTGTTTTAAAATTCATATATTATTAGTTACTAGACCTGTAAGATAAACTTCAACTGCTAAAAAAACAGTTTAATACTTGAGAAACTGTGGCTACAGATGCTCAGCCCGTCACTTCCCCTATTCAGTGCTCGAGAGAGCTCCTTTGCTGCCAAAGCTTTGAGGGTGCTTTTCTCCGAATCCCGGTGTAATGATGTCAAAAGGCTAAAAGTTAATAAAAGGCCTTAACAGAAGCCGTCAAATGGATGTGCCAAATTAGTGTGATTTGTTTTTATTTTGCCTGGGAGAACTATCTTACTAAAAACTGGGATAGAAAGTCCAATTAAAAAGTAGTTACCAGAACATAGTCAGGGACGTATGTCCAGTCTGATTTGAAGCAGGGTGAAGCCCTGCACCTCTATCACTCCTCTGCTACATGTCAGATTAGGTTGAGGGAGGGGATGGTCACAGGAAAACACTGGGGGGACATGCGTTGCCCTGGCTCTCGAACTGGATGATCGTGACACCCTGACTGGCCTGCCTGCCATGAGGCCTGGGCCAACAGAAGGGTCTGGAAGAGAGGCGGCTGCTGGGGCAGGGAGGCCCTGAGGCAGCATGATGGATCTTTGGCCACCCCAGGAAAGCTGATGGTGCTAGAAGGCTTCCAGTCCTGAAGGCAGGTGGCATGGCCAGGGCATGTGTCAGGCCAATGCAGACGCCACTTGTAGTGTGAGGAAGTTGGTGGGGAAATGACTCCTCCATCTCCCCGTGCTGACAGAGGAACTGTGACTCAACAGGGTGAGCCAGGAGCGTGGCAGCAGCCCCATCGCCTGCTCTCTGCTGTGCTCAAACACCACAGCCAACGCTCTGATGAACCTGTCCCAGCTCAGCTGCGAGGGCCCAACTCCCACCTTCTTACCTGCCCTCAAAGCCATACCTGCAAAGCTCTGCACCCACAGGGACACCCTGCATCCTGCTTTCAGCACTTGAATCTCCCCCTTTTGACCAGAGAGGTCAAGCCATTTTCGGGGAGGAATGGAGGAATGACCTTGGGCAACAGTAAAGAAAAGAGTGAAGATTACTATGGCTCTAACGTACCTACAAACAGTACCTGGGCTCAGCAGAGAAACTGAATGGCACCAGCGAAGCACAGAGCATGCCCAAAAAAAGAAAATGTCCAGAGCTGTGCAGAAAATGGAATATAATGAAAGAAGGAAACATCTTTCCAAATTACTAGTATCAGTAAAACTGCTGACTTGTGTGTGTGTGTGTGTGTGTGTGTGTGTGTGTGTTTACTGAACGCCTGCAACCACCGTGCATGCACAGACACAGCCTTCCCTCATGCAAACTCTCTGCTTCTTGCTTATGCTTTTATGCAAACGAGCTATGCTGATACAGTGAGGGGGGACAGAAGTATAATGCTTTTTTGATGGAAGCCCTCTGCTGCCACCCATGGAGATGAACTTCCTGGTACACTTACAAGAAGTGGGGATCACTTCTCAGAATTTGACATTTAAGCAGCACCAAACACCTACATCAGCTCTGCTTGCAGGGATGTCTCACACTGCCTTCCTGTACAAGGAATAATGAGAAAACTGGAGATTTTTCAAAGCAATACCCTAATTTTTTCAAACTTTTCTCGTAATGCTTAAAAGCAGTCCATTTCCTATGTAAAAATTTTGGTGTCTTATAGGAAAAAAAAGTCAATAGTTACTTAGTTTCCTGTGCACACCTTAAGTACTTTCCTTATTGTGACTGAGGAGTGAGTGCTAATAGCAGAAAGGAAGCACTTTAGGGGCTTTTACACAGGCAGGGGTGATAGGTGGTTTTTTATGAGGTGTACATTCAAACGGCAGCTGTATGCTTTCAGCCTAAAATGACTCACAGAGACTCTCTCCTACCTTTCTCATCTTAACCTAGAAAATAGTTATCTAAACTGAAGACTTAGACCGAATTAAGCAGTCAAAGGGAATAAAATCAATCGAGGGTATCTGACCCTAGCAGAATCCATAAAAATTATCACAAGAGCTCAAATTTTTTCGTTTCTCCCCCTTTGCATTGCCCAGGCATTTAAGAGAGCTTTCTACCTCCTCCCCCTTCTTCATTCCTACAGAGTCCTCCAAAAGGCTTTCACCAACAGGCATCTGCTAAGGAGACTTATAAAACCTGTTTTCATTGTGTTCCCATGGCAGAGTGACAGGCACTTTAGTTTCTTTAAAACTCGTTTCATTTTGAGATTCTTAGGCCTGCAATTCTTCCTGTATCAGAGTATTCTTTATAGTGGATCAACTTCCTTCAACTGAGAAGTTTCAGCAGACCTACCTTATGGGGATGTAATCTCAGCTTTGGAAGTGTGTGAACATGTTATTTGCATACAGGACTTTTAAAAGACTTACAACTTTTAACCCTGAGGAAAAAAAATGTCTCTGCTTTCTCCTGTTATCTTTATAATACATTGTATTTTTAGCAAACCAATTCTCCCATTTCTAATCCATAGATGCCTATGGATGTGAAGGCTGATGCTTTCAGAACCTGGTGGGCGTTTTTTTTTTCTACTCCACATTTGTAACATGGGGCAACATGCATGAGCTCATCAGGGGCTTTCTAAGAGTTAAAAAAAGCGGGAGGGGGGGATTTTTCTTCCTTTTTTGCCTAGTGGGAGCTGAGAAAAACTTTAACTCATTTTCTGAGTTTTGATTTGTTTCTGGTACTTTTGACACTGTTGCTAGAATTAGCTCTCTTGTGTTAACCCTGTCAGGATGTCTATTTCAAAGAGTAAGTAATTTCATACTGTTTAAGATGATTCTTTGTTGCAGTTCCTTTACTATGGTAAGCGATTTCTGCTTCCAATGTCTCCAGTATCTTTTTTCCCATCTTTTTGTCCCATCAAGGCAGAAGTTCATAGTTTGCTTCAAAATAACCACTAAAAATAGTATTTCATGCTCTATATGAGAAGAACAAAAAGAATCCAGTTCCATCTTCTGAAAGAAGTCCCCTCAGCAATGGGACTTGGTATTTCCCCATATTTAGAAGCATCCTGAGCTTCTTAAATTTCATGCGAGATGCTTGTGTTTGGTGCCTGTGAGAGTAAGAAGTCTCAATTACT